TTTCTAACCTTCCCCAAAGGCATCCCCGTGGGGGGGAAGAGAGGATCAGCCTGTCGGCAGATCCTAGAAGTCAGGAATGATGGTGTCTTCCCTGACATTCAGCTCTTTTCAAACTATTTTATAGTGTTCTACTTGGCAGGTGGAGCTTGAGTGACTCTAGTCATACATATCTTTATCAGGATTGGTTCAGAATTCTCTCGCTTCGCGTTTAAAGGTCCAGACTAGGAAAAATTCAGTGCGCAAGCTCATTGAGGGGCGGTCGCACCTTGGGAGGTGGGTAGCTTTGAGAGGGGTGTGCGTTTTAGTATAATGATATTATAATAAGCAAAGTTCACTCCAAGTACAGCATTCCATCAAAGTTGACAGGCCACTGACCCAGGGCATCGCACGTGCAGCTTATTAATGTACACACTGTGTACCTTTAGATTCCCTCGTTCACAGAGCGTGGCCGCGACGTCTCCACTCCGCTCCACCCTCCATGCGATCTCTCCCAGAATCAGCACACCAGGCGCCCCTGATGCTGCCAACGTCGAGGATTTCCCAGGGAATTGTTATGGATTGTACAGTGTCACGTGTTGTACAATGCACTCATTGTACACGAGCTACGTTCCACCCCGTCTCAATGCTGTTCTTAGGGGGTAAATTTCCAAATTGCCCCTCAGCGATTACTCCACAGGTGGGACTTGGCCTTGGCCGGGGGGAGAGTGTCTCCCCACCTGAAAACATGAAAACAGGTGCTGTGGCTGAACCAGAGCCCAAACCCTCAGCTGTATCATAGAATCACAGAATCGTTTAGGTTGAAAAAGACCTTTTTCAGATCATCCAGTTAATCCGGCACTGCCAAGCTCAACACTAAACTGTGTCCCTCAGTGCCACATCTGCACCGCTTTTAAATCCCTCCATGGTTGGTGACTCCACCACTTCCCTGGGCAGCCTGTTCCCGTGCTTGACAACCCTTTCCTTGAAAAAATTGTCCCGAAAATCCAGTATAAACTTCCTCAATACAACTCGAGGCTTTTACTTCTTATCTTACTGCTTGTTACCCAGGAAAATAAGTCCGACCACCCAGCTCGCTACAGCCTCCCTTCAGGTAGTTGCAGAGAGGGATAAGCTGTCCATTGAGCTTCCTTTTCCCCAGCCTGAACACCCCCAGTTCTGTCTTGAGGCTTGTTTTCCAGATTCTTCACCAGAAGACTCTCTGGACACGAGTTCCCAGGTTTTTATGCTCTTGGACAGTTGCACGTGTCTAAATCCTGGCCCTCTGCAGCATAATGTGAGCAGGGCTAAGATGTGCCACTCCAAAGTTGTCACCTCCAGGCAGTAATAAAATTAGGGTAAATTCAGTCACCTTCTTTTCAACCAGAAGTGGGATCCAGAAAGACACACTCTCTGACACCTTCCTTAACCAAAGCAAGGGTGAACAACCTCTGGTTCTCCAGTTCATCCTTTGGACTTTTTTTGACAGCTGCATGCACTGCTTGCTTTTTCCTGCTCATGAGGAAGATCTCCCGGTCTGCATCATCTTTCAGACGTGGGTCAGCATGGTCTCAATGCCATTGAGATCTTGGTAACACCTTGAAATCAAGCAAGTCCTGATTTGATCTCCATGTCCTGATTGTTCTTCTCCTCGGGTTCATTCCCTGATGTTTCTTCACCTTGAGTTCTACCTCAAGGCCCACAAGTCTGGAAGACAGTCCTGGAGAAGACAGAGAAAATATGGAGAGAAAACATCTCAGCCCATTCTGTATCTACTCATAATACCTCCAGCAGTTGTGGTACTTGGTGGTTTTTTTTATCCGTTGAGTACTTCTGTGGACCATCATTGCAAGGAAGTACCTGTCATTACAAGGTGCTGTCCTCAAAGACCAAGTCTACTGAACTCTGCTGCCCATCAGTACTTGCTGACAATGATATGCCACCTAAAAGACTTCTGAAAAACCACAGCCAAGCCATCATGGTCACTTTGCAAGGGGATGTCCTCCAGCCCAAATCTTTCCCCAGCCCTTGAAGACTGTAGTAGGCTTCATGTTTACCTAGAGATAAATTCACATGCGCACGCGCATATGGTGGGCTCATCTGGGGTCATGGGCATGTTGCGTTGTTGGAGGAGAACGTTGTTGGCCAAAGCAGCCTTCGGATGAGACATGTGATCCCTAAATCTGCAAGAAAATGAACTTTTTTTTGTGGGAAACCTAGTGCAACTTCATCAGCGATGGTGCAAGAAAACATCTCAGACAGCAACAGTGGGATGACCTGGAGAAAAAGGTAGAAAATTTGGATTTATAGAGGACATTGATGCTTCTTTTGACTTCGCTAACAAACCCCTGTGTCACTGCATCCTACTGGTGGCCTCAGAAGCCGTTATACTGGTCTGATGGCTATACCTGGTATGATGGTGCCATGGTACTGGCCCTGGTGTTCCCATCAGCTGCTTGTATCCTTTGGAGGAGGAGAAGTACAATGCGGTAAAGGAAGGATTAAGGATCAGGATATAAGGGGATAGAAAGGATATAAAGTGATAACAATGAATTGAAATGAGGGGACATGAACACCTGAGGAGAAGGCATCCTGTTGAGGCTGAAGCACTTCTTCTCCCACGATGTCCTCAGACTGGGGAATTCCCCAAGAGATAGACCACACTCGTGTACCCAAAACGTTGAGCGATGCTGCACATCTGCCCCCAGCGCGCTGTACACATCAGGTTACTGGCCCAGACGCCAGCGCGCTCATCAGTCGTTGGTGGCCCCGATGCCCCCCATCCCTAACCCCAATTCTCTGAATGCATGGCGGGGAGATTCTAACCCAGTATTAACTGCCGAAGTTAATTGGGAGTTAATTAGGCTATTTGGGGATGGGAGTGTCGCCATTATACTTTTGCACAAGCAGACACCCATTTTTCTCCCCCCAAAAAAATGGTTTTATCAGGTTTTTCTGTCTTCATCTCTCTTCATACGTTCACTGGAAGGGACTCCAGAACAAGGATGACCAAGTGCTTCTGCCACCACCTTTGATGATAAAAATGATCCTTTGTCTCAGAATAACCCAGGAAATATCTAGATTATGATCAAAAGTGCCCTATTTAAAAGTCCATCTCTATGAAAAAAAGAAGAAATGAAAAGAAAAATATTGTTTCTATTCTCCCTCAAACCAGCGTGGACTTCCTGAGTCCTGGGAAGGTTTTTTCCCGATGTGGCCCAAAGCCTTGTGTTGGATTGCACTCAGGTCCCATCTGGAGAACATGTGCCCAGACCCAACCCCATGAGTTTGGAGAGGCAAACAAAAGGCAGCAGAGGGTGAAAATGACTGACCTTGCCCATTTTTAGACTTGGGACATATTGGCTGGTCAATGGCATTGTGGGGAATTTTGAGGGATACACGGAAGGGGAACATTGGATCCCATTAGAGGACATGTCCAGTCTTGGCTCTCTTTGTTTGGACAATGGCACGATGGGAAATGGGGATTCCTTCAGTGTGGTGGGTTACAGAGGGACACCACTGTCACTGGATCTTGTTCTCATTTGGGGTCACCCCGCTGGGGGCACGGTATCTGCTGGGGTTGTGTGTGTTTTAGGGCTAGGACCCAAACTTTGGGACAGGCGTGTGGAGGGATGGATGGAGGAGAGGAAGAGAAGGTATGTTGACCATACCCACCGTAGAAGATGACCTTCGCTGTCCCCTCCACACCATCTCAGTGGGCTTCCACCACTCCTACAACTATGTGATGGAGCTAACAGACACTCCCCTCCTTGAGGACCTTCTGGAGGGTGTCCCTGCCTGGTGGTAATGTCACGGCTCCTGTCATTCCCCGCCCCAGGGGATAAATTAAGTTCAAGCGTCCATCCCCCACCATGTGTCCCCTTCCTCCCATGTGGTTTTCCTGCCTCCTTCCTCTTGCGTGAGTGTTTCCTGCCTGGCACTGGGTGGAGAGGAAGTGGCATCTAACGGTCACAGCCACCATCGCTGACAGGGACACTCAGGATCCACAACCCAGGCTGGGAGCTCCAGGAACGGACATGTGAGTCCCTGAGGTACAGGAGGGAAGTCTGGTGGGGTGGAAGGTCTGAAAGATCTGGGGGTGGGGGGACTAGAAGGTTAGCAGGGTGACCAGGAGGTCTCAGTGGACAACTGAGATGTCTGGAGGTCAACTGGGAGGTGTGGTGGCCAACTGGGAGGTCTGGGGGGCAACTGGGAGGTCAGGAGATGCCAATATGGAGGGAAACAGCTGAGGGGGTAAAGGAAGAAGAGGTGGAAACCTCAGAGGGTGAGGAGAAGGAAGGAGAGGTGGTGGGATGGATTAGAAAGGGAGGGAGCATGGGGATGGGTGAGCTGAGAGGTGGGTTGGAGAGATGGAGGGGTCGAGGGATGGAGAAGGATGAAGGGATGGAAGCATGAAGAATGGGATGGATGGATGGATGGATGGATGGATGGATGGATGGAGGGATGAAGGCAGGGACAGAGGAAGACCTGCATTTTCTCTGGAGGTTTGTGTCTCCCCCTCTCCCCACAGCCCATCCCCACCACCACGATGTCCTCGTCTCCTGCCAATTCTTCATACCCCCACAATGTCACGTCCGCTCCTGTCCCAGGCACGGTGGTGGGATTGACCCTGCTGGCAGCGGCAGTGGCTGTGGGTCTGCCGGGCAATGCTGTGGTCCTCTGGAGCTGCGCCACCACCCACCGTCACAGTGTCCCCATCCTCCTCATCTTCTACTTGGCCTTGGCCGATATGGTCACCCTCCTCACCGGTCCCATCTACCTCCAGGCCTTGAGCCTTGGCCAATGGGATATGGGCTTGGCTCTCTGCCGCGGGTGTCACTACCTCTGCGCTGCCGCCATGTACGTCAGCGTCTTCCTCATCACTCTTCTGGGGCTCCATCGGTGCTTGGTGGTCTCCAGGCCGGCGGTGGCTGTGGTGATGGCAGGTGGTCGTGCTGAGCAGTGGACTCACAGAGTAGTGGTGGCGACTTGGTTGGTGGCTTTGGTGTTGGCCATCCCATCCATCGTCTTCCGGCAGGTGAAGGATGGGCACTGCCAGCGGGTGCATGGCACAGGGGCTTGGCTGGTGCTGCACAACCTGCTGGAGACCATCTTGGGTTGGGCTCTACCACTGACTGCTGTAGCCACTGGCTATGGGTTACTGGTCCACCGGTTGCGCCAGACTCGCTTGGCCCAGCGCAGTCGGACCTTCCGGCTGGTGGCCTCTGTGGTAGTGGCCTTTGCTGTCACGTGGGGACCTTACCACCTGGCCAGCTTGTTGGAGGTGGCAGTGGTCCTACAAGGCCGGGGGGACACACTGAAGGCAGTTGCCAAAGCCACCCGGCCAC